AAATGACAATTATTAGATTTAATATTATTAATAAACTTTTTAATTTATTTTAAAAAATGTGATGTATCAGAAGTGATGATATGGCCTATATATATTATTATATTCAAAAATTGAATCTAAGATTCTAGTTTGATACGCTAAATAATTTAAATAAATTCTTTTTGGCTTGGATTACGATTCGTGCGAATAATATCTATGATCGTTAATTAAATATAAAGTGTGAAAAACACGTAAGTCCTTATCAATTAAATGATTTAAACGATATTGCAAAGATTTATTCTAAATTAAATAAATAAAAATAAAATGAATATTAAATTGCCTTGTTTATACAGCAACTTAAGTTGCAGATTATTTTGGTTAAATGAGCTATTCTTATGTGTTAAAATTTATATTACGACATAAATTTGAGATTATTTAAATAAATTTCGAGAACTGATAGAACGATTTTAAATCCAACATTATTGATTCACGAATAGTCAAAGTTATAATAATCTGTTTTTTATAATAATAATAATGCTTAGTTAATTACAAACTTTTGTCAAGCAATTTCTTATTAACGAATTGAAAAATATGGGTGCCGCCAAGTGAAAACCTGACATTCTAAAAATAGATTTCTATGGACAACGGAATGCGGGGTTTTAACTAATCTGATCATAAGATATGATTCGAGGTGCGTAAGTCGTAGTTTAACGCAAAGAAAATTCTCGATTTAATAGTTCTGCGTCGATTCGCATGTCAACTTGGATTGAATAATTTTTTTTTTATACTTTAAAATGATTCTAATAAAATAAAAACTTCGAATCTATTTTTAAAAAATTGATTGTAATACATGCAGAAATAATAAATTTTTAAAAGACAGTAAAAACTTTATTTAAGCATTAAAGGTGAGACCGTCCGCCTAAAGGAAAGGCGAAAGTGAAACCAAAAGTAATGTAATATATATATATATTAATATTATATGCCAAGAACTGCCCGCTCAAAGAAAAAGTGTAGCCAAAGTAATAATTTTTCTTTTTTCCTTTAAAGAATTAGGCCAGCGTTGAAAGACGATTAAAGAAACTAAGCTAACGTTAATGGTAATTCACAGGGATCAAAAGAAAACGAAGATAAAGCCGATGTCAAAGATAAAGAAAGCCAAGTTCAAATAAGGGGAAGTCAAGGTTAAAATCAAAAGGCTTTTTATGTCCTTGTTCGTGCTCCGATTCATTACGTTATCGTTACTGCATTTTGAAATTTTCTCGTTTGATTAAGATGACCAATCGACAGGTGACGCGCGTCACCTGAAAATTAGCATCTGAGGCACAACATATACGTCTATTTTTATTAATAACCGATACGTAGTAAAAATATGTCAGGTTATAACTGTATAAGCGGGTTTGGGTCAAAATCCCGACAAACAGAATCCCGACAAACAAAAATCCAGATAAAATTGACTAAACCTAACCATAATGCTGGCTAATCTGTCGGGATTTTGACCGGCTTCCGTATAAAACTGAACTGAGCTAAGCAATTCAATTCCAATAAGAAAATAAAATGAAATATATAATCATTAGCATGTGGCTTCAAAATTTGCATAGGCCTTTTCAACTACGTATCGACTATTATTTGTTGAGACTTAAATATTTTCTGGAAATTTTCATCGTATTAATAATAAAATTCTTAAGTCTATATGAAATATAGCATTATTGACATTATTGACGCTTGGTAGCCAGTTTCTTATATAACCATCCATCATACCAAATCTTAATTTTATTAGGATCGGAATACGAAAAAAAATCTTATCAAGAATTACCGGTACTAAGTCAATTTTCATGTAATAACCATTATTAGAATTGAAAAAGAAATCTGACATTGACTATTAGCGTTGGAATCTTAAGTTCTCATAGAAATATCAATTTTTTAATTTTATATATTTTAACTAGATATTAAATTATGTTATATAATTTCTTTCATTTCGATTTGTATATTAAAAATAAATATAACAATTCAAAAGATACTACATTAATAACAAATAATTTCATTTTTAGCTAATTAAAATATAAAGATAAAATAAATTCTGAATTATCTTTAAGATAAATCATCAGGAATTCCAAGTATAAAAGCCAATCACAAACTTTATAACGGTAGATAAATTTGCCATATTATCCCTTACACCGTTTTACAGGCAAATTTACCTGCGGATTTCTGACAAATACACTTTTTTGAGGCAAATCTAGAGGTTAGGCCAACTTTCGAATTAGTGCTTTAATAGGGGGTTTCAAAATTGGTGTATTTTTTTTAAAATTTTGAAATCGGAAAATGAAATACAGCTTTTAAATTACGAAATATATAAACTTTTTGGAGATATGGTTAAAAAAAAATATAAATAACAATTGTAAAAGCGTTGTCGTTGATAAATACAATTATATAAATAAGCTCACATTTAATATAAAATAAATTTTATAGATGGCTTATTTTGAAATAAATATATCTAAGTGCGTCAATTGACGTCCCCAGATAATTGCTATCTCGGGGTTTAATAAAAAAATAAAATAAATAAATATATCTCTTTCGAAATAGGTGTCTGGTTTTTACTTTTGAAACCCCCAAAGAGGAGTTTCAAAATTAACATATTTCAAAAAATATGTAAGGTTTAAAAAATCGTATTCATATTTTAAAATTTCGAAATCGGAAAATGAAATATCAGTGTTTAATTTATGAAATATGTAAACTTTTTTTGTTATTTAGTTTATTAATAAAGCGCCGTTGATAAATAAAACAATATAAATAAGCATCGGCTAAACTTTTTCCTCCTTCTGAACAAATATTAACATCACGAAGAATTAATGATGTTAAAAGTAGTATTATTATAAAATAAAGAGCCTTTGCTAGTACTTACAAAGTGCATCGGCTAAACTTTTTCCTCCTTCTGAACAAAGATTAACATCACGAAGAATTAATGATGTTAAAAGTAGTATTATTATAAAGAGCCTTTGCTAGTACTTGAACTTTCAAATGGAATTGTAATATCAAATTTAAGATAAATAAAAATTTTACGTTTATCACTTATCGAAAGGAAAGGCTTTTATTTAATAGTTATGTTATCAAGTTAAACTGTTGATGCTAATAAATGAAGAAATAAATTTATCCAGTCTTATTGTCAAGTATCATAGCACATTTTTCGATTCTTTCAATATGATACTATTTAATATTTAGAAATTCAATTATTTGCATCAATTAATAAAATAGTAAATTATATATCAAATAGAATACATACGAGTTTACGTCTAATAGCCCAAAAATTCTTAATCAGTTTTATTCTGTCATTGACAGATTCAATACCCAAAGTTTTTAAATCCTTATAGTCCATATCAATAATTTCTCGCCAGTTCTTATCCTTGAACGCTGGCGCATACTGATCCATACCGAAAGTTTTAAGATACGAGGGAAAATCTAATTAATATGTTAGTTATAATAATATATAATTAAAATAATTTATTAATTTAAAAATGACGTGGATGATTATGATGCTGAAATTTATTACTGTATTGAATTTAAAATTTTTTAGGATTAGGGTTAGAGTTGTTAATAAAAGAGTATATGTATACTTTAGTAGATATTATGGATTTAAATGGTGACTCTAAATTTCAGCATCATCCGATTTCACGGTCATCAACGACAAAAATAAATAAGTAAATAAAAAAAAAAAAACATTGAACAAGTAAATGTTCTATTATACATACCATCTAGTGACTTCAAATCAACATCAACTCTATCTTTACCGCCTCTATATGGTAACTTTTTTCCTTCTTTGAGTGCCTACATTATTTAATCAATAGATAATTGAGCAATCCTACCAAGTTTTTTTTTTGTACTAATACAATGTTAATTAAACATCTCTACTAAAAAATATAAACACACAAGATCACATCTAATAATCCAAAAACATGAACCCAATCTCCATGCAGACTCTATATCTTTTACACCCATTATTGTTAATTCGTAACGGGACAATTGTATAATATCTTGCCACCTCATTCCTTCAAATACGGAAGAATATCTAAGCATCCCACAACCATCTAACCAACCAGTAAAATCTTAAAAAAAAAAAAAAAAAAAAAAGTTAGTATAACAATAACCAAAATCTTCAAAATAAAAAAAGTAATATTTACATTATTTATTCACAAATATAATTTAGAAAATAAACATGCCTTCCAATAGATCATAATTAACACGATCGTATAAATTATCCCTCATCCATTTAATACGATTGTATATAACTATTTCGGCAATTTCTGGGGTGTTTGGACGTCTACGAAAACCAAGTTTCGTATTGTTATCATTTATAGTTTTATCGACGTTTTCAGTAGATACATTACGAGAAAGTGAGGAGTTAATTGATTTAACTAATGCAACGTTCGGGAATTTGAAAACTGTAGATGTAATAATTGATCTTGATAATATCAAATTTCTTGTGGTTTGCTTTATTCTGATGACACCTGTGCCATTAACATTGAATAATTTAGTTCTCGCCACATTAAGAATAATTCGAAGTGAAGCCATTTTCATTTGTAAAGATAAAAAGCTAAATGTAGATGATATAGATCGAGGTGAAAAAAAAGATCTAGATAAGTGAAGAAACATGACTAGTCGACCAATCAAAAAAGGGAAATCTAGACGTTGTGAAGGGGAGATCGACACCCCGGACCCGACGTCACACCAATTCACGAAATTCACGAAATTCATGGAATTCATGAAATTCGATGAATTGGTGGAATAAACTCAAAATACATAATAACAAAAATTCGTAGAATGGTTACTATATGATAAATAGTAATAAAGAAGTGTAGTTAATGGATAGAGTTAATAGTAGTAATAATAAGAACTTTTTGTATTCTTCGAATCAAATCATGTATTGAAACCGGCGTAGCGGCGAGTCAGTCGCTTGACAATCCAAATCTTTGCGTAACCTACGGTAGGCTTTACTGGAAAGAGGTGTGTTAGGTTTGGCGAGTTGGTTGGTTCCATAGGTGGGTCTTTCTATTAACCGGGTAATTTCTAGTCTTTCTTTAACCTCAGCTATACCACACTACTTCGGGTAAGCTGGACAAATCAACCACAGTTGCACCAGGTACGTTAGGATAACAACTGGACGGGGTATCAAATTTAGCGAGGGGTCACGTGAGCAGGATTTAGAGAGAGACAAAGTTTATCACTATGCCACTTAGTAACAAACTGAAGTTAGGTAGTTTAACGAATTTATTATTTATTGATGAACAATTATTATATGCAAGGAGTTAAGTGATTATTTTAATAAAGCGAAGTTAGGAGGTCCCTTTCCTCTAGGGCCTTTACGGCCTTTATTTATAATAAAAGTCTAGTATATACATTTAGTAAACTATTCTGTCAATTACGACCGAAATGCCTGATCTGACCTATTTGACCCATCGGACCTATCTGACCTATCTGACCTATCGGTCCTATCTGACCTATCTAACCTATCTGACCTATCGGTCCTATCTGACCCATCGGACCGGGTAACCCTAATTCGGTTTTCCCGAAGTCATGTGTAACGTGACTTCGTCGGTTAACAGTATTAAAGAAAAGTATATATAGACTGAATAATCGCCCTCAATAAAAAACAACTCTTAGAGTTCGAAAAAGTAAAACCTTCTGAGTCTTGAATAGTCTTGAAAAGAAGTGTTTGTTTATCCCTAAATACGTTTCCCTTTGAATTGACATAAATCGTTTTGTTTGAATCGTTAAATTTTTCTATCTTGTCCCCGTGATATTTTCTCGCAAAATCAAGTTTCTAGTTAAAGTAAAAGACCCAAATTGTCATATCGCATTGTTTTATATAGTATCTTTAAATTGATTAATTAATTGATCAATTTCGTAATTGTTAAATCGACCTACCAATAAATTCATATCCCGTGACCCAGATTGTAACCCAAATTGTAACCCAATTCGTAACCCGATTTGTAACCAATTTGTAACCCAAATTATAATCCAATTTGTACCCAAATTGTAACTCAATTTATAATCCAATCGTAACTAAACTGACTTCCGATAAACGTGACCAAGACAATCCATAAACCCAACTTCTATAACAAAATACCTACCCAAGTAACCCTAATCTCGAACCAAGTTATACTCACCTTTTTTAAGCCTTTTCCAACCTAGGGTTATTTCTTAGTTGGATTTGTGGATTATCCCAGTTTATCTGTATAGATTAGTTGGATTAGAACCCCTGTGTAACCAAGCTTCCAGATGAGTTCTAGCCTAGAACCAATTCTCATTTTTTCAATTGGTGATGACTGTGAGATTTGACAAACAACGCTTACTACCCCCCTTCCTCTGATTTAAAAATGAAAAATAAAGATAATTAAGAGAATGGATACAAGCATGAGGTCTCAACAGAGTCTTTTAGAAGACCCAAATATACTTAATTTTGAGGAATGAAGGCTTGAAGACCATAATTCAACCTTCTCTGCTGCCACAATCAATAAGGACAATGTTTACTTAATTATAAAGAAAATTAACAAAGTATTTCGTGATACAGCAACTGAAGCTGTAAAAAATAATCCCTTAATTAATTAAGGAAACAACATTAATGCACCTACTACATAAGAAACTAATTAGGTTCATGTAAGGACCTTTAGTGGTATCAAAGAAGAAGATCTGGTGAAGTGGATTGATGCATTCAAAAGAGCTGCTAGTGCAAATAATTAGCCTGGAAGAATTATAGTACAAATTGCTTCTAGTACCTCACTAGAATTGCTGCCAGTCAGTACAGCAATAATAAATATGCTCTAAACTTTTAGAATAACTCAGACTACTCAGATCAAAGTTTTTCGCTCAAATTGATAAAATATTTTGCAACCTCTAAGAAATGCTATAAGTAGTAAGTTGATTTAAGTGTTCTAACCCAACAAGAAGGTAAAAAAGTAGATGTTTATGCATACAACTTTAAAAGATTACTAAAAAGAGTAGACCCAGAAAAGAACCTACCTGTAACTTACATTATAAGAAAGTTCATGAGTGGGTTAAAAAGAAGGATTGCAGCAATAATATCAATTGCTGAACTCAACAGCCTCAAATAAACCATAGCAGAAGCCTACAGAGTAGAAGCAGATGAATATTACAAGGAATAAAAAAATGAAGAAAGACCAACAAACTAAGTCTTGGAAAAACTTATAAGGATAATGCGTCAAATAATAGTTAACATGATAATTAATTCTATAAATAGTGAAGAAACCAGACTTCAATGACAATACCAAAATTTTTGCTTCTGGTAATTTAATAATAATAAATATTATAGGTGAGGAGAAAGAGAACATCTGTCTCGAAATTGCCACTCAGAAAGGTCTCTCATCCAAAACAGAAACTTTAGACAAAATAGAAATGAAAAAGATCAAATACAAAATCAACTCCAAGACTCGAGTAGAAACCAAGAACAAAATAAAGCTCAAGGCCAAGAAAGAATCCAACCCAACCAAATTTTAAACCAACCTGGAAGTATAAACCTATATGAAGTCTACAAGGAAGATAAAGAAAAAGAAGTATATATAGGCAATCAAGTTCGCTATTAACTATATACTACTGAAAGACCTGAGAAAAGAAATGAGACAAACTGAGATGAATGACTAAGATCCAGACCTACCTAAAGTCAAAACTAATAAGAAATATTAATTGATGTGACCATGGATAAAGCAAACCTGATCTAATTCAAACTCTAAAATAAACCTAGGAAGAAATGAGGCCTATTCATAGTCGATTCAATTTCACTATATAATATCACAGAAGACTTTCTAAATCAGTTAGCCAAAGTAACTTATGGTCAAATACTCCAAATCCCAAAACAAAGAAGGAACCTTGCACAAGCCTTGTGTAGACTACTTGTTTCCTAAGAAGAAGAGACTAACCTCACTAACCTAAACTATATGATAAAATAACTACAGCTAAATGCCATGTAAGGATAAAAGGGAACTCAGACTTGTAGTTTTAATTCTGAGGCTGTGGTTAGTATAATGACAAAGAAATTATTAGATAAACTCAAATTAATCATCAACAAGCCATCAGCTACTGTTGTTATCACTGCTAATAGCAACTAGGAAAGATCCTTAGGACAAATAATTAATCAAAAACTAGTAATAGAAGGAGCAATAGTTTCAACTAACCTTCAAATAATAGAGTCATCTGAAGAAACTCTACTCTTAGAGATAGATTAGTTTAAAAAAGTATTCATAAAGATTTATTTTGATAAAGGAAAATTATTTATTATATATTTGGAAAAGCAAGTTGAGATTCTTATATATCAATTCCAGAATACTAAACCAGAAATTCCTATTGAGACTAATACTAATAATAAAGCGAAGAATGATAATGGTGACTATTTGAACAAATATGAGGAGGAAGAGTTGGAAGAGCTAGAAGGATTTATTGCTGAAGGGTTAATATCAAGAGAAATAGAATTATATATAAATCTCTAGATAGATACATATAGTCACGTGATTTATTTAACTGCAACAGAAGAAATTCTGATACCAAAAAATAACCAAATATCAGAACCAACTCAAGAAGAAATAATTGATAAATTAGTTACAACTGAAACCCTAAGTAAAGAGCAAAGACAAATAGCTAAACAAACTCTGAATACCTTTACTAGACTGTTTACAAATAGGTTAGACCAATTAGGTTAATCAAGTATAATACAACATAAAATAGATACAGATAAAGCAAAGCTCATCTGACAAGCTACGTATAGAATTTTCTCAAGTGAACAAGAGTTTTTCTATAACAAAATAACCAAGATGCTAAAGAACAATTTGATTAGTAAATTAAAAAGCCCATGGATCTTACCTGAGTTATTGTTTCTAAAAAGAACAGAAAATTATGACTATGCATTGACTATAGAAAACTTAATGCTATAACTAAGAAAAATACGTATCCTCTTCTAAGAATAAATGAATTATTAGAGATATTCAATAATTCCTAATGGTTCTCTACTCTTGACCTAGCCAGTGAATACTGGCAAATTCAAATGAAATCTGAAGATAGAGAGAAGATGACTTTTATTACTAAATATAAAAGATTTGAATTCAATATAATGCCCTTTAGGCTTTGTAATATACCTGTTACATTTCAAAGAACCATAGACAAAATCATATGAGCTTACATAGACAAATTTGTCATAGTTTATCTAGATGATATTAATATATATTCAAAATCTTATGAGGAACACTTAGAGTATATCATTAAAACATTCAACAAAATCAGAGATACCGAATTTAAATTAAATCCTGAGAAGTATAACTTATTTAAGGACCAAATACAATTTATTAGTCATATTGTAGATAAGAATAGGATTAGGTCTAACTAAGAGAAAGTAAGAAAAGTCTAAGAATTTCCTACCTCTAATAACTTTAGACAACTTCATGGGTTTATAGAACTTGTATTCTATTACTGAAAATTTATAAAAAACTTCACTACAATAGCTAAACCCTAGCACAAATTGTTAGAAAAAGAAGAAAGATACAACTAGATACCTAAATAGTAGCAAGCATTTGAAATATTAAAGAAATACCTAACCACTACACTAATCCTAAAATACTTAGACTTTAATAAGAAATTCATATTACATACTAATGCTTCTAGAGTGGGCCTCAGTGCTGTATTAGCACAGAAAGGAGATAACAAATTGAAACATGTTATCATATATGCTAGCAGAAGTCTGATTGGACCAGAAAAGAATTATTCAGCTACAGAATTAGAATGTTATATGGTAGTTTGTGCTATAGAATATTTCTATTACTACCTTGGGTATAGGCCTTTTGTAGTAGTAACAGACTATACTGCTCTTAAGTAGTTACAAACTACAGCACTGAAGGGACGCAGGGCTCACTAGATACTTCATCTATAGCTCTATTAGTTCACTATAATATATAGGGCTAGATAAAAACACAAAAATGCTAATGCCTTTTCGAGAATAAATAAAAGTGAAAAAAAGAAAAAAGATACAATTGCCTTCAAAAATATTGAAGCCTATAAGGTATATATGATAGGACGAGAATTAAAAAATAAACTAAAGATAAGCATAGAAGAGCTTATAGAAATGAGTAATGATAACATAGAATGAATGCCCAATATACTCAATGAAGAAAACTCTGAGTCATCTGAGTATGAAATAACTGATGAGCACTATGAAAGGCTTATGAAGAATTTAGTGATAGAGTTTGGAAAAAAAGTAATCAAGATACCACAAGATGACCTAGAAGAAGAGGAAGAAGAAAAATTATAAAATAGCAAAAATATAGCTCAGAAAGTCTAAGTTATTGAAGCTACAGAAGAAGTATTCCACATAGCCGTTGAGTTCTATATTCTGAAAGAAAGTAAGGAAGATGAAAGATATAATGTAGAAAGGGGGATTATAAATTATGAAAGTGATAACAGATGGAATAGTAATTACATGACCAGATTTTATGAAGAGGAGATTAATGACATAAATGATGAATAAGAAGAAGAACCTACTTAGTATCTGTATGAGGCTTAATATTATTAGCTTCTATAGAATTTGGTGCTTGAATTAGAGTGAGAAATAACCTGAGCACAACAAAATGGGTATGAAGAAAAATATTACCATTAGATGATGAAAATAAAGCAAATGATAGAAATGAGGTTTACTTTATTGAAGTAAACACTAGAGAACTTAAACTAGAATTGGATCAAAAGACTGAAAGGATAGTGTATGACAACTCCAAAAGCAATAATTATTATGACAAGGATAGTTACTTCAATAGGATACCAGATGGTTTAGGTACTGGTGAAGCCTAGTGGAATATAGATGCCTATTAGAGATAAAAAAAAAAAAAAAAATATATGAAAAATAAAAGAATATCAAAAATATATATAGTAAAAAAAAAAAAAAAAAAAAAAATTTTTAAAGAATATAACATAGAAAAAGACAAAATAAGAATAGTCACAACTTTAATGTATGAAGAAGAGCATATTATAAGGAAAACCTGCATCAAAGAAAAAGGACAATAATTAGTTAGAAAAAGGAAAGAAGAAATGTAGAAAGGGACAACTCACGAAATCAAACCAAATATCTAAAGATTAGAAAAACCAAAACTATAAAAGCTATGAACAGAAGTTATAACAAAGTCAAAGAAGAAACCAACAAAAAAAGGAAAGAAGTACTCAGCTCAACAAGATTAAGAAAAGAAGTAAGAATTGCTACTACAAATTCGATGATAACAATTCAATTCAGGTTTTGGAGTCCTAACAACAATAAAAAGAATTCACTAAAATAGATTCACAAAATTATATAGTACTAAAAGATTATATATTTCATAAACGATACCTACTCAACTGTACCAAAGATCAACAGAAATGACAAGAAGTACAGAGTCAATTCTATATAACTAGAGAAGAATTACACTATAAAAAAGACTGAAGAAAAGAAAATAACCTACTGAAAGTATTGCAGAAAGAAGAAATTAAACTAATAATGGCCCTAGTTCATGATCACCTAATGGGGTCCATTTCAGAAAAGATATAATATTTAATAAAATTTGTGACTGCTATTACTGGCCTCAAATATACGAAGAAATATGCGAGTATGTTAAGACCTATATAAATTGCTAAAAACATAGTGATAGAAGATTGAAAGAAGTACTATACTCTATACTAGTAGTAGCCCCATATCATAAAATAGGGATTGATATAGTCAGTCTTTTACCCTTAATGCTCTGATTCAACAAATATATTGTAGTAGTAACTGATTATATGACCAAATGGCCTGTGGCCTGCGCAATTCCAAGAGACAATGCTAAAGAGATAGCAAAGTTCATATATGAAGAGATAGTATGCAGACATAGCTGCTCCAATTATATACTATCTGATAGAGGCTCTTATTTTAGAAATCATCTAGTTGATGAACTTTTTGCTGCTTTATAGATTAAACATTACTATTCAACTCCCTATTACTCCCAAACTAATGGGCTTGTAGAATACTTCAACAAAATATTATGTAATTCAATATCAAGATTAGTAACAAACGTGATGAATTGGGATCTCATAATACAGCCTATACTATTTGTATATAGAACTGCAAAACAAGCTTCTATACAACAAATGCTATTTCATTTAGTATACGGAAGGGAAGCAAGATTACCTATACACCCAAGTAAGTCAGGCAATTTGTTGAATGAGACTCTTATTTAGCGAATGTATGAGATCAATTCTAATTTACAAAATACCTGCAACCAAGCCCTAATACATATCCAGTCAAATTAAAGAAAACAGAAAGAAACACATGACTTACATACCAAAGCCATGTCCAATTTTTATATAGGGGACAAGGTCCTAGTTTATGAAGCTAAGGTAATGGGTATGCATAGCCATAAACTAAAACAAAAGTGGAAGAGCCCATATTATATACACGATATTATGTCAAATAGCATGTACAAACTTTGTGAAATAAATAGAAGAACACTTGCAACACCTTTTAATAAAAATTGCTTAAGCCCTATCATGAAAGAATTATAAATAGAGAGTAAAAATTTAGCCAAAAAAAAAAAATAAATAAAAAAAAAAAAAAATAATAATAATAAAAAATAAAAGAAAGAAAAAGCCAAAAATGACCTCCAATAAAGACCTAATACTTGAAGATCTACAAGCAACAGAACTTACACTCATCTTTCTAGAACTCTGTCCTTATAGTGAATTTCATAACACACTGACTCAAGTAGTTCTTACCTTTGAAAAAATCTTGATAGCAAAGGATACTGGTGATCGAATTAGTATAATCATCTATACCTATTATTTAGATGCTCGTCTAAGCTCTCTAACACCTATTGAAAGAACTCTATATCGAGGATACCTTATTCTCTATTATAAAAGAGTATCTATGAGAATTTATTATCTATTTGAATCTATGGGAGTAAATTTACTGAACAAAACATATTAGTCTTCCCATGGTCAACAAACTCAAGACTACCAAATACCAAGAATTACTTCAATCTTCTTTTGTAGAACAGATTTTTTTTAACAAAAAGAAATTGTAAAAGGGAGATCGACTCCTCAAATCTGACGTCATACCAATTTACAAAATTCATGAAATTTATAGAATTTATGAAATTCGATAAATTGATAGAATAAACTCAAAATACATAATAACAAAAATTTGTAGAATGGTCACTATATGATAAATAGTAATAAAGAAATGTAGTTAATGAATAGAGTTAATAGTAGTAATAATAAGAACTTTTTGTATTCTTCGAATCAAATCATATATTAAAGAAAAGTATATATAGACTGAATAATTGCTCTCAATAAAAAAACAACTCTTAGAGTTCGAAAAAGTAAAACCTTCTGAGTCTTGAATAGTCTTGAAAAAAAGTGTTTGTTTATCTTTAAATACATTTTACTTTGAATTGATATAAATCGTTTTGTTTAAATCATTAAATTTTCTATTTTGTCCTCATGATATTTTTTACAAAATCAAGTTTCTAGTTAAAGTAAAAGACCCAAATTGACATATTGCATTGTTTTATATAGTATCTTTAAATTGATTAATTAATTGATCATTTTCATAATTGTTAAATCGACCTACCAATAAATACATATCCTGTGACCCAGATTTTAACCCAAATTGTAACCCAAATTGTAACCTGATTTGTAACCAATTTGTAACCCAAATTATAACCTAATTTGTACTCAAATTGTAACTCAATTTATAATCCAATCATAACTAAACTGTGACTTCTGATAAATATGACCAAGATAATCTATAGACCCAACTTCTATAACAAAATACCTACTTAAGTAACTCTAATCTTAAACTAAGTTATATCTGCCTCTTTCAAGCCTTTTCTAACCTAAGGTTATTTCTTAGTTGGATTTGTAGATTATCCTAGTTTATCTGTATAGATTAGTTGAATTTGAACCTCTGTATAACCAAGCTTCTGAACAAGTTCTAACTAGAACCAATTCTCACTTTTTTAACAGGTATGCAGATCTTTTGCTTTTATTAGGTTTTCTGATGATAAAAGAGTTAAAAGTCTTATAAGTATTAAAAGAGTTATAAGAGTTTTAATACATATAAGAGTTAAAAGAGGAAAAAGACTTAAAAAAGATTAAAGGGTTTAAGTATTATAATAGTTAAATTAACATACAGTACATTTATACATATGTAATACATACCTGTAAACTGTCTAATTAATCTTGACGTACTAAGATTAATTATAGTTTCCAATTCTAACTGACCCAACATACTGAGGTTAGTTGTAGTTATTTTATTTGTTTCCAACTAGCTGGATATATTGTGGTTAGTTATAGTTATTTTATTTTGGTTCCAGTTATCTGATGAACTGAGGTAACTGTAGTTTCAATCATTTGAATACCTGATGTATTGTAGTATTTATTCTCTAAGTCTTTATTTATAAGAAGAATAAAACGAATTACTAACCTATGAGCCTAAACTACTGACCAAATATAAATGCTCTCTTTCGATAAGCTATTCATAGGTTATGAAGTGTTTTCTATAGCTAAGCAACTGACTTGCTATATAAAACCTCTCGTTTCAGTAGAGTATCAGAAGTAGGATATTTAAGAAAAGTATAGATTAGATAGTAGGATTCATTTAATATAGAGTTTAAGTATTTATAAGCAAACTATCAAGAGCTATCTTTTAATATGAGTGAACTTGCTATTATTATATACTTTTATATCAATATGTTTTTTATAACTCTTTTAATACTTAAAACTCTTTTAACTATTAAATGTCTTATAATACTATGAGATAGGAAAAGTTATTTTAGAGACACATAAGGGTTAGAGGCTAATGTGCTGCAGTATCTGCATGCAAGTATGCAGATTTCTAGCTTTTAATAGGTTTTCTAGAGATAAAAGAGTTAAAAGTCTTATAAGTATTAAAAGAGTTATAAGAGTTTTAATATTTATAAGAGATAAAAGAGAGAAAAGACTTAAAAGAGATAAAAGAGGTTTAAGTATTATAAGATGTTTAATAGTTAAAAGAGTTTTAAGTATTATAAGACGTTTAATAGTTAAAAGAGTTTTAAGTATTAAAAGAGTTATAAGAAATATATTGATATAAAAGTATATAATAAGAGTGGGTTTATTCATATTAAAGGATAGCTCTTGATAGTTTGCTTATAAATACTTGAGCTCTATATTAAATAAATCCTACTACTTAACCCATACTTTCCTTAAATATCCTATTTCTGATACTCTACTAAGTGGCATAGTAGAGTTATCTTTGTGAAGCTATTAATTAATTCATGATTACTGTATTCCCAAAGTGATAATTGATATATCCTTTAGTAGTTAGAAAGGTAATCTAAGCTTTAGAACATCCACTTGTCAAATCTAACTGCCTCTTTTGATATAGTCATCCAAGTTGCTGATCAAAGATTAGATCTGTTTGGTCCTAGTAACTAAACTCCTTCGTTTCAATATGAAAATCTGAATTTACTGTGAATAATATCAACTTTCAGTATGCTTTTCTCTTGAACTAGTATAATAATTAAGTTTAATTTTTTTTTAAAAAAAAGATAGAGTAAATTGTATATTTTAGTACAATAGAGCCATTTTTTCAATTTATACTATTTTATAAAAGTAAATTCTTTAACAATGTAAATGAACTTTACCTAAATTTGACAAACATAAAGCTATTGAATTTTTTTTATTTTTATTTTTTGAATTTACCTTACTATGAAGATGCACACACAGTGCTTTATTAAGCATTCTATTAAGTATACATTATTAATTCTATGTAATAATATTTACAATTTTTTAAGAAACTTCAAGGTCAGTAGGAGCTCTTTATTTGTAGAGCAAGAAGATTGCTGTAAAACAGCAAGTTAATTGTTTAAATAGTATGTGATAACAGCTGGCACATTAAGATAGTTGACTGTGTTGCTGTCTCATTTGAATAATGTATATAGGTATCATACTTTATAGACTATATTGATGTGTAACTATTTGATTGCCCTCATAGCCCTGGCTAAGAGAAGTTGAAAAGGAAATATAATATCTTTAATAGAGAAATAATCAGCTGGAATAGCTTGGCTTGGCTCATTAAAGCTATAGCTGAAGTTAAGCTATAGCATAAATAGCTATAGTGTAGCTAAGCCATGCATATATCATGGTTTGAGTTAGCCAAGCCATTTAAGTCATAGCTTAGTTTTCTAAGCCGTTGCTAACTATAGCTTAAGCTATTAGACTTAAATCAGCTATATCTGAAGCCAGCTTCAAAATCATAGCTAAAGTTTATTAGCTTGGCTTAGGTTATAGCTGAAAGCCAAAGCTGAAAGCTATACTTCTCTGATTCAAGCCATAATTTTAAAGGCTTGGCTTAATAGTCACTCTGGTATTAAGCTACAACTAAAGCTAGCTTCAAGTGGAGCTAATAACATCTTTAATCTTTAAGGAAAGGTGAGTATAGTTATGTTTGGAATGTTTGCTAACATTTTATAACCTAGGTTTCAGACCTGTTGACTAATAAAACACTCCAGTATAAAGTGTTCTATAGTTAGTAGTTTGTCTTTGTACCATATACATTTGCTACTTTCTAATACTACTATGTGTTTTAGTCTATATCCTAGGAGAAGAATCCTGTGGAGAAGTCACCAGATGATATTTGTTTTTTTGTTAGGTATCTAGCTACAATGAAGTAGAGTTGTTGTTTCCAAGGGTTAAAGTTCTATGAGTAAATTGTTTTGTGTAGTTGTTGTGATGATAGATTTGTTTCTGAGAAATTGAACTATCTTTTTAACCAAATAGGTATTGCCTTATTCATGTGCTAGGGCAATTGATTCTATTGGCCATGGCTATATGCCCTGTTCTGCCTATTGACTCTTCTACCTTTCTTCAGACTTTAACAAAAGGTTTCCAACTGTAACTCAATTTATATCTCTTGCCAACAACTCACTAAAGCCTCTACTAATGCTGAATTATTTGCAGTATATTTAGATACTCTAAATAATGATAAAAAAGAAGTTGAATGTGAAGTTTAGAAGTTAATTACTGAGTATAAAGATATCTTTTCTAAAACTTTACATGACTATTTACTTTCTAAACAAAGTCTTAAACATGTTATTGAATTAACACCTAATATTAAACCTCTATCTAGACTAATCTATTGCTTGTCTTATGATGAAACTAATGAACTTAAAAAGCAACTTGAGGATTTGTTAAAAAAAGATTATATTTATTCTAGTATCTCTTCTTTTGGTGCTCCTATACTTTTTGTTTACAAAAAAGATTGTTACAGATAGTGTAGCCTTCTTAGTACACTATAAGTAATAGCAATATAGCTATCTAATTACTTTAAGAAGTAGTATCTAAAAGGGAAGTTTCTTTAACTAATTGTAAAGACAAATTCTACTCTATAAGAGGCAGTTTGTTTAGGTTTATTTAATAACAATATATTTATTAATTATAAATATTTAGAGTTAAGTACAAGAGAGGAGAGAGAGTTAAGGTCTAAACAACTAAAAGGCAAGAGAAGAATTCTACTTGTATTTATAACTTCTAGCAAGCATCATATAAGTATTAGCAAAGCATTATGTAAATGACTTGTGCAAGCATCATTTAAGCATTTGTACAAATGATAGTTAAGTGTTACTATTAATAGTTTGGCACAGTAAAGAGGCACAGTACTTAGCACAGTTCAGCACAGTTCAGCATAGTCTTTCAGCAAGTCCAGCATAGTATTAGCACAGTATTTGGCATAGTTTTGGTATAGTTATTAGCAAAGATTTAGCATAGTTTTGCATAGTATTTAGCACAGTTTAGCATAGTTTTAGCATAGTAATTTCTAACTATAGCCTATGTTTTCTTCAGATCTTATATAATAACTTTAAATATAACTTATATCATTATATAGCTGATATTCTTAACTACAAATATACTTAAGAGTATTTTTTTTATGAACACTTTTTGAGG